CTGCATTTAAATTTCTAAAACACAGCAGCAGGCTCTCCAGAATTTTAGCAGTGAGGCAAAGTATATATGATTTGTAGTAAATGGGTAAAAGTAACACATGTTATAATTTATTGTTTATAATTTGTTTTTTAATCATGTAAATGTGATTTGTGGTTAGAAGGAATGTAGTAATTTGGTGGTTGCGGGAATTTAACCAGTGTAGTTGTTTAGTTAAATACTTGGGTTGTGTCAACCATAGTTTGGATCACTAGGGGTAGAACTAGATAAGTATTACTTCTTTCTACTCCCTTGCAAGCATGTAATGACTAAGCATCATCAAGAGAAATTTCTATTTTTTTTTCAGTGTAGTTGTTTAGTTAAATACTTGGGTTGGGTCAACTATAGTTTGGATTACCAGGGGTAGAACTAGATAAGTATTACTTCTTTCTACTCCCTTGCAAGCATGTAATGACTAAGCATCATCAAGAGAAAATTCTATCTTTGGTTGTATATGGTAATTGGTTTGGCTGTTTTGTGTTACATGTTGATTTTTTTGCTTTTTATTTTTCTCTCTGTTTTATTACATGCTTGGAATTAATTAAAAAAAAAAAAAGAGAAATACTTGAGTCATGCTGGTTTTCATGAGGAAGCTGTTTGCTGCATGGTGTCTTAAACAAATAATCACTGTCTTCACATTATTCGCCGCAATAAAGTCAGGGGTTTGAAGGAGAGAGAATAGGGCAAGGACACTGAGTAACTGTGTCACAGAGGTGTCCCTGTATTTCATTGGCACTCTTCACATCTCATTTACTCCTGGTGTTCAAATTAAGAGTGTCGCATGGTGATTATCTGAATGTTGGTAAACCAAGAATATGATGGTCGGGGTTATTAACATTTTATACACAATTAGATAGAATGTTTAGATAGATTAATAAAGAAAAGAATCATTAGATGCAGCCCTAATGGATTTGTTCTGAGAGGTTTTAATGTCCCTTGTAAATATATCTCTTTTTGAGCCAATGCACATTATAGTACAGATCCAAACAAGGTGATGTGTTTTGGGTATTCATTGTGTGGGGAGCTGCGCTGTTTGCAGTATACACTCATTGTTAAGTGATAGTTTTATGTGATTTATGTGTGTCTCTCAGTCTCACCTTTGCTAGTCAGGATGGACAATGCCTTATTTTGTTTTGCAGATGTTTTGTATAAATATCTTTTGTATGCATGTCTTTTGTGAATGCACATTAGCTGCTGTTCATACTGTTTAGCTCTGTGTGTGTGTGTGTGTGTGTGTGTATGATTGAAGTGTACAGCTGAGCATTGGGCTCTTTGATGCCGCCTCCTGTCATCTCCTCTTCTCCTGTGTCAGGTTCCCACACACACCATCTGAAAGCAGCGGGGAGCAGGATTTGCTGCTACCCGGCCTGTGTTTGGAAAAAATGGTGATATGGTTCATTAAAAGATGACAGTCCCATGAGTTTGGCTGCACTTTGGCCATCTGCCTTGTTTAAAGATGCAGCAGAACACACAGGTTGACAAAGGGCTTGTTATCAGATATGAAAAATCAGTGTGCTACCTCCACATCTGACATCATTCTGCCCTGAACAGATGACCAAAGACCTCAGAATACCTAAAGGAAGAGCCCAGTGTGAAATGGTCTGACTTTTAATGTGTACTGTTAAATGGATTTTTTTTTGGACTTGTTGAAGCTATCACCTATAGGATTTTGACAGGACGTTTAACCCCCAGCTTCAGAAATACACTGCAGCATTTTAAAGCCACCATAGGATGACAGCCAAAAGGAGCACTACAGTTAGTCAAAACAAAAAGATGCATTAGACTAGAACGCATGCACACAGGACTGAATGTGTTTACTTGTATATATGAACAGGTTAAATTAAGCACAGAGATATGCATCATAGTATAACTTATGTGTGCAGTGCGGGCTGCTTCAAGTGTTTCCATGGTGATGGCGTTTTATTTTCATTCACTGCTTTATTGTTCACCCCCTATGGGTCAGAGAAGGCATTACAGTGGGCACATATGGGCCATGTAGTAAAATAGCTGTACAACTTCCTGTTGTGTGTCTGAATTATTTACAGGCTTCGACTTGTCTGGTTAACACATACGTATCTACCATATGACAGATGACTAAGAATGGTTGTTTTCTCTCTGGCGCTGTGCTTCCTCTCAGGATGTATTTTTATTTAACCCAGAAAGCTGCTCCTAATGGAGTCGTAGCTCTGTATTTGGTCTCTCAAGCATGTGCCTTGTTGGCAGTATATTTAAGTGGAAAACTGAATAAATCTTAATATATATTTCACTCCCTTTACTAAAGCTATTAGCTGTGAATAATGCACAGAGTTCATCTAGCCAGTAGCAGTGCCATACATCTTCTGTTTGTTTAATTAGTTTATCTTCCAGGCACAGGGATGACATAAGCAGGGTCCTCTCAGCAGTCCCTGGCTGTGTATTTTATTACACTCTGAGGGCATTATTTGGTTTCATACCATCTGGGGATGCTTTAATCAGACTTTTTAAAGGAAATCTTCATCACCGATTTAGTATAATTAGAATAGGCCCAGATCTATTACTGATCCATTGGTTCCTGGTCCCCCTTTAAATTGTCTGGCACAGTAAGATGAGTATCTGGAGAAATACCAATCTCTTCTACTAATTTACAGGCTAAATAGAGTTTGAGTAGAAAGGGAATCAGAAATGAAGGCTGGTTGGACAGACAAATTCACCAGCCCCAGCTGAAATGTTGCAGGAAGTGTTCGGCAGTAGATATAATTTCATGTCCTTGTCTGACTCAAGAAAGTTGGTCTATTTTTGGTGAGGCTGCAAATGAAAGAGCCTCCATATGTTTTAATGAGCCCAGATCCCCTGGGTGAGACAAAATTGTATGTTTCTGAGACCCAGGCTGGAAAAGGCTTAAGAACCCATCATCCAAAATCTTTTTTCTGTCCACATACTGACTGAAAGCCTTAGGATACAGCTGGATTTTCTGGGACTTTGATTGTAAGAGGAAACGAGAGACATTCTCACAGGAGTCACAGCACTAAAGACATCGTATGTATGCGCCGTGTGTGTGTGACTGCGCTCTTTCTCTGCCCTCTTTTTCCAGTCATAGCTGCGTCTCTGGAGGTAGCATGAAACGATGCCCATATACCTTGACTCCAGCACTCATGCTTGCTGAGGCTGGGTGAGCCTCATGCTCATGATGGAGTGTCCCTCCATCAGATTCCTGATGGAGGGACACTTTGTATTGAGCACTTGAAGCTCTGGGAACAAGCATACTAGCTTCTCTCAGCATAGTCTTTATCTGAAGGCTATGAGCTAGATGCAGGATTTGTACAGTAGCAGCACTCCTTTACATCTCTCCTGTCACATCTGTAGTACTTCAGCTGCAGCTGCTCGCTGGCTGTGTCACTGATGTTGCCAGTGATTTCCAGGGCATCTCTGTGTGTCTCCTCTTTTTTATACATTTATAGCCTTGGTTTCAGTCCTGCTTTGCAGTTCTTCATGTTATTGTGTTTACTTCCTTGGTTTTGCAACGTTGAAACCTTTTCTATGTTGTGAGTTTGTTTTGACAGTCATAACTTAGAATCTTGTTCACAGCTGTTATTTAGAAGTTTTTTCCTATGTATTTTTTTTGTGCTGCAACTTTTAAATTCTGCTAAATGCTCTTAAGTTTAAGCTTGTTTGATGTCAGCATACTTGCCAAACCTGCTTGCAGTGCGCCATGTTTGTACTTCTCATATTTTTCCCTGCTGGCAGAGTTATATGGCCCAACCACAACAGGTTAATTATGTTGAAACCCAAGGTTATAGATGTGTTTAAGTAAAAAGAGAAAAAATAAACAGCTTTTCCCCCAAGATAATCAAAAAGTTGATTTGATTTGATTTATTCTTTCAAACATGTAGAAACAAATAATATCAACACACACATAATCCAACCAATGCTAATCCAGAATCAGTTTGCTTATACCTAGTACATGTTTGAATGGAGTAGGAAGAAGTCAGACTTATCCAGTCCTACCCCATAACATCATCTTATACAAAACAATTTCATGCATCATTGGCTGCAAGCAGTATCTCTACATATGTAATTCTCTTCTTCACCAGACAAGTAATATACAGAAAATTTAAAACAGAGTGTTTCATTTATCCATTCTTGATTAAATCTCTAATTCTTGCATATATCTTGAATGACACATACTTTTATATTTATATTTAAACTCCTCAATTCTAGTACTGTTTTTCATGTCTAACATCTGTCTGCAAGAAAGTCGTCAGTACATTCTCGTTCAGCTGGAAGAAAAAGAGGGATTTAAGTAAAGCTCAAACTGACCTAAAGCTACCTCAGCAGAAGCTCGTCACTGAGTCTCCAACACGATGGGGTTCGAGACTCAACATGATCGAAAGAGTACTTGACCAGGAAAAGGCGATTTCTCAGGTCCTGAAGGCAGACAGGAAGATGAGGCATTTAGTCCCATCATGGCAGGATGTTGACGTAATGGAGTCTGTGAAAAAGGCTCTGAGTCCACTAAGAGATTTTTTTTTAGCTATTTTATGCTGAATATATCTGATATGAGATATGAGGAAGTTATTCTTCCTTTTAATTCAAGGTTCAGAAAAGGTCTAAAATATCTGAAGATTTGTGAAGGTTGGTATTCAGTGTGATTTGGAGCAAACTGAATGAACACATTGTTGTGATTTCTGAGACTATTCCCTGCTCGATATTAAAAAGCTGCAGTCTCCTATACCTTGATGACATACTGGGCAAATTTGCCCTTTAAGGCATGTTATTCTGACTTGTAAGCTGCATTTGGTGACCTGGATCATCTACTCATGACAGAGATGCAGTGGGACTGGGGAGGCTGAGTGGTTTGGTCAGAGTTGAGGGATAACTCTGGTGAACCCTAAAGTCAGACCTTACTCACTTATGAGACACTAATGTTCTTTGTAGCTGCTCTGTTTTGGTGCCCTATCTAACCGTCTTCTCTCTGCCTCTTGCAGGTTTAACTACAGGTCCACTCACCACCTCACCACAAATGGCTTTTATGAATTCCTCAACTGGTTTGATGAAAGAGCCTGGTACCCTCTGGGTAGGATAGTAGGGGGCACGGTGAGTGTTTCTTATGCAGGGCCTGTGTGGGTGTTCAGCTCAGTATGTCAGGGAGGGAGTGTGCAAGTCTGACCTATCATTTTTAACATAGATCAAAATCAGTAATTATCTATACTTTTGAATAACACTGAATGTAAACATAACTTGTTTGTTTACCAGAAAACTCCATAGGGCACCTTTTCAGTTTATATGTCATTAAGCTTCACCAGGTTGGTTACTGTTCAAAGCTATCCTTTAATTTGAATCAGTGATGCTGTCTGCATCCAACATGCTCCAACATTTACACTTCAACAAGGCAGTGATATTACTACAAGAGGCTGGTTTCTGGTCTTGGGTGCTAGTGGAATGATACTGTTTCCAAATGGTAGAAAAGCTGTGTAGAGTTTCCCATTGGCACAGACATATGTTGCAGTGGATATTGTTATGCTGTTTAATCAGCTTTAGAGTTCTGAGCCATTTCCTCTTACTCATGTAGTGTGGCTTCTGTTTGTCATGTGAGGATGTGTTTCTCCTCAGCTATGTGTCAGCTATGTAACCCTGTTACTGCAGCCTAATAGGATGATTGTGCAGATGAGAGCTGACCCAAATACACAGCATACACATTTATTATAAATGATTCATCAATTTATTGTCATTATTGTGTTTCTCCTCCTTCTGCCTCAGTCCCATTGTTCTCCGTTTTCAATAATGTCATTACTATAATGAATTTTTGGTCATTCTCTTAAACTCACTCTCAGCTACATGTCCTGCACACACACAGGGTAGATCTGTCCTCAACAGCTAAAGGACGGACAGAATGGGGTCACTTTTAACATGTCATTACACAACAGCTCATCTCTGAGTGCTGATTGCTGCCGCCTCTGTATATTGGGGACCCCTCTGTGTGATCTCTCTCCATGGGTTGATGAGGGGAGAACTAACTGTTGTTCTAATCACTTCCCCAGAGAGCACTTTTGTGTATCCACATTAGCTGTTGCCTTTGCATCATATGACAGTGGAAAGAAGTAAGGACAAGGCAGATTCTCTACTCAACCAACTGTACTATTATACTTCTATTCAGCCTCTATTTGTGCTTTTCTCATTCTCAGTATTTTTTCTAGGGGCTATCTGCAGCCACTGTACTGATATAACTTTAATTTGGACTTTCTTTAGCACTGTGCTCTTTTGTTTGGCTGTCATTTTTAATATAAAGAAGGCTGAAATAAAAAAAAAATTTTGTTTTTGGAAATTGTAAGTTACCTGATTGTTTTATTTTAAGAAATACAGTGATATTTGCTGTGATGAGAGCATTGGTTGTCAAGGTAATGATGCAGGCTGGTGAAAGCACCTTCTCTGTCCAGTACCTCTGTGAGCTAGCAATGAGCTTGTAATGTTTTTTTTCCCTGCTGTTAAACTGCTTATTAAAACTGTTAATGACTTCATGTTGCAGTCACAGCAGTGAAAAAATACATAAAGCAGCACTTTCAGTTTGTCAAGGTGTTCACCAGCCTGTCAATATTGGCACTTTTCTCATCACATCTCACAGGTATTAAAATTGGGCAGAAAAATAAAATTAGCTCCTTGGGAGATTCAGACCTGATTAATAACACCTGACTTATAAAACTTGTAGAAAAATTATATTTTGGTGACCTGTCTGAAGAGAACCTGAATAACATCTGCCCTCTTCTTCCTTTTCCTTTCTTCTACTTGTCCTCTAGGTATACCCAGGTCTGATGGTCACAGCTGGCCTCATCCACTATGTGCTTAACCTGCTGCACATCACCGTCCACATCCGGGATGTGTGTGTGTTCCTAGCCCCAGTATTCAGTGGCCTGACGTCCATCTCCACCTTTCTGCTAACAAGAGAGCTGTGGAACCAGGGGGCGGGGCTACTTGCAGCCTGCTTCATTGCCATTGTCCCCGGCTACATCTCCCGCTCTGTGGCTGGCTCCTTTGACAATGAAGGCATTGCCATCTTTGCCCTGCAGTTCACCTACTACCTCTGGGTACACTGTAGTTCTTTTTATTTTATTTTTCTTTTGAAAGGGGTTGGTTTTGCTCTACCTGTTCTTCCAAAGAGAGTTTCTCTCGACACAGACGCTGTAGCAGGTGCTAGCAGCAGTTAGCTGTGCTTTTTACATTTATTTTAAATGTGCCAGAATAGAGTTCTTAATTCTGTTTGTTCTCTGGGCTTAGTTGACCCCAACCTCTCCAGCTGTCATTTTTGCAGAAAATTTTCTGTGACTGTTTTTCTGACTCTGGCACTAGGAGGTCCGAGGTTTCCTGGCTTTGTACGTCCCACAGATTTGTGATTGGCATGGTTGTTTTGACAAATGGAGAAAGAGCTGAACAAAATGGGAGGTGGTGCAGAGATCTACAGTAGTACCTGGCTAGCAGTGTCCCTCAGCTCTATGCTGCCTGTTAACCTCATTTAGCAGTTTTGGGTTTTCCAACCTCCAAATTCTTGTCCTATACTCCATCTATAGCTGCAGCAGGCAGCCATTTTCAGAAGAAAATGGTCAGACATCCCACTGTACCCTACCTGCTCAGCACCAAACAGTAGACAGCCAAAGCTAGCACCTAGCTGGTGAACATAGTGACGCATTTATCAGTGACAGAGCCAGATATTTTGGTGGAGTTGGTGGAGACCAAACCAGAGCTAAAAGAAGGGTGAATATTTGACATTCATCAGGTGGCCGGAAACACGACTCCAGTAATATTACTCTGTATATGCTGGATCGCAAGGCAAAAATGAAAGTCAACAAATTCTTAATGTTGCTAGTATGCAGTTAACACTTTTTATAAAATATTTATTTGCACACAGGTCCTTTGTAGACATGATCATTTTGTGCACATGCACAAAGATTCAAAGAAAAAATTAATTATTTCAGCCAAGACCACTGTTCTTTAGTGGCTGACAGGGAATAATATAACGTGGCTTAAATATGACAGTTAAGTCTTGTTTCTTTCCCTGGCATTTCAACAGTAAATCACACCATGAATATGTCACACAAATATACATACATGACCCCCTTCAATCTACAACTGTGATTCATCTCATTGGCTCAGCTTCTCCTGTCATTTAACCCCTTTAAGCCAATATCAGCACATTTTACCTGAGCTTTTTTAGGTCAGTACTCTTTAGCCTTGTTAAGCCCTTGTTGTGTGTTCTACTGTAGTGGAAGGTAAAGACGTGTAGGGCATGGTGCTTCGCTTTGCCCAGGTTATTAAAGAGGGAAACATGATGAATAATTCACACAGTTGTGTTGGGTATGCAGCAGCGGAGCAAAGTCCTCAAGGGAAACGTTGTGGAAAGGGTTCAGCTGTGTGTGGGATGTGTGTTGTTGGTTAATTGAATTCTCTTCTATGTAATTTGCAGGTAAAATCAGTGAAGACAGGATCGGTCTTCTGGACCATAGGATGCTGCCTGTCCTATTTTTACATGGTGAGAATATACAAAAGCATTTGGTATGGTATTCTTATGACAACTTTTGGGAATTCGTATGTCATACTATTATTACTATTGTGCATTGGCGACAGCCATAGAGACATTATGTTTTTGAGTTGTCCGTCCGTCCATTTCTTATGAATAAATTATCTCATGAACGCCTTGAGGGAATTTCTTCAACTTTGGTGCCAATGTTTACATGGATTCAAGGACAATATGACAGTGCTCCCTGTCAGTCCTCTGTACTCCTGTGAAAACTGCCTCCAAGTCAAGACAGCATGTTTCTCATTGGAAATTATTCACCAGAGCCATGCATATCAATATAGTGACAACTTCCATTTTGACAAAAACACACTTAATATATGTTGTTAAATTCTGTTTGTCTGGACAGATATGCATGTAAACTGCAGCTGGTCTGGTTGTTGGAGGCATACCACTGAGACGTGGTAATTCCCGTTGTTCCTCTTCATACAGTCAGGGAAAAAAATAATTTGAACCCCAGCTGATTTTGTAAGTTTGCCCAGACCCATTTTCAATGCCCTGACTGAGGGAAGGAGGTTCTCACCCAAGATTTGACGGTACATGGCCCCATCCATCCTCCCTTTGATGCGGTGCAATTGTCCTGTCCCCTTGGCAGAAAAACACCCCCAAAGCATAATGTTTCCACCTCCATATTTGACGGTGGGGACGGTGTTTTTGGAGTCATAGGCAGCATTCCTCCTCCTCCAAACACGGCGAGTTGAGTTGATGCCAAAGAGCTCGATTTTGGTCTCATCTGACCACAACACTTTCACCCAGTCTTCCTCTGAATCAGTCAGATGTTCAGTGGCAAACTTCAAACGGGCACGTTTTGCAAAGGGATCAAATACTTATTTCATTCATAAAAATGCAAATTGCTTTATAACTTTTTTGTAATGCATTTTTCTGGATTTTTTTTTTGTTATTGTTGTCTCTCACTGTTCACATAAACCTACCATTGAAATTGTAGACTGATCATTTCTTTGTTAGTGGGCAAACTTACAAAATCAGCTGGGGTTCAAATCATTTTTTCCCTGACTGTATTTTAATCACTTTATACATCAAACTAAACATAAATCTGGGCCCATAATTTTTTTTGTCATTTCAGAATAGGAAGTCACTCCTAACTGGCAAAAAAATGGAATAATACAATTAAAAGAAAAAGAAAAAAACTGTGTGATGCATTTTTGAGCCACTTTTAGGAGTACAAGTATTTAATCAATGTTCTCCTATGCCGGCAAATATTTATAGAGCTCTTTCTCCTTGAGGAGTGTTTGTAATCCTAGGTCAACTTTCAGCGTGATTTAGGAGCGAGCCTGACATTCTTCATAATGTTAATACTGACACTGAAGCATAAACTAGTGGGATTGTCATCCTGAGAAACACAAGCAGCCAAAGTATCACTATGCCATTCTCAGATCCTTTTCAGACGAGACTAACATTAAGCATTTATGGATGTCCATCAAACTTTATGGCCTTTTTCATCCAACAAAGACACATCTTTTGGGAAACCTTTGCCATTCATCCATTCAGCCCAACTGTGATGAATCTTTAATGAGTCATTTGAACATAATCATGCTGTAAACTGTAGTACATCTCTTCCAGCCTGGCAGTTACATGACACTTAATGATGAATGAGCACAAAGCTTGAAAAGGGGTGTGTGTGTGTGTGTGTGTGTGTGTGTGTGTGTGTGTGCTGTCCTCAATATGTAAGCCTGCATCTGTGTATGTGTGAGCACCTTAGAGGGTGTTGGAACCAACAACATAATCTGAATGATAGCCTAAATACTGTAGTGGTTCCACAGCTCTCAGGTGGGCCTTGTCGCTTTGCACCTTCCCTCTTACCGCTACCCATCACATTTTGTGTGTTTGTGTGTCTAGTAAAGAAGAGACACCTGTAAGTTCCCAGCCTACCGGCGCTGGTTACAATACTGATTATCCACTGCAGTTAAAAGCATCACACAGATTTAGCAGGGATCAAAATCCCTTTATAACAATAGGCAGTATGTGTCTGTTAATTTGTGTGTGCATTCATCTGTGTGCAGGTAAGAATGTGTGCATGCACAATCTAAATTTTTACACCCTTCCGTTAGTGACCAGTATTACAAAGTTTTGAATTATTTAAAAGTTCTCTTATTATTAAGTTGTGTTTTTCAGGTCTCGGCTTGGGGCGGTTACGTGTTCATCATCAACCTTATTCCTCTTCATGTGTTTGTCCTACTGCTAATGCAGCGCTTCAGTAGGAGAGTCTACATAGGTGAGTTGCAGCATACACACTCTCTCATATATATGAATATATTATTAATTTTCACAGTAATTCAAGAGCATAAACAGATGAGCTGGCTCATTTAACATTCAGTATAGCACATCCAGGGTAAACAGATAATATAAAACAGCGTGACACACGAAGGAAAAATCGGCTTTCCCTCCCCTGACAAGACTTAAAGCCATACACAGTTATGTGGGGACACCCCATAGAGAAGCCTGTTATGTGTTGTCATATTGTCACCGTGTAAACACTGTTACTAATGATTAACAGCATCTATTAGCAGCTGATGTTCTGTCTGTAATGAGACAGAAATCTACACAGATCCCCCAGAGAAGGACAGAAAGGAGACATGATAAAAGTAGAGAGCTGGAGAGAGGAAATGTAGGCAGGGGAAAAAAGATTAAAGCTGTCTTCCTTTCAAAGAGTTTGCCTCGTTGCACACACCGAACTCACCCCACTGATCATGAATCAAGTCCTGACCCCAGGCTCATAGCTCCCACTGATGCTGCAGCACTATACCAGCTTTTCAGATTCAAATCAATGGCCCATACATACCATACCGGTTCATAGTCCTGTGGAAATAACGTATCAAAATGTTAAATGTGCACAACTGCAAAAGGTTAGCTTGACATGAAAGCTATGAAGTTTGGAATCAAAGAGAACCCATACTGTGGACTGCCAGAACATAGGACAAGTACAGAGGAGGACAGGGAGAAGAGACATGGTGATACTGGACTCTGCGTCCTCCAGTACAATTATTGGCAAAGGGAATAAACTGCCATCAAGGTGACTTTCGGGTCTCTGTCTCTTGGTCTGCCAGTCTTTCCCTTCACCTCCTTTCTCTCTGTTTGTCTCTCTCTCTCTGTCTCTGTTTGCCTCTCTCTCTCTCTCTCTCTCTCCCTCCAAATACCAGCATTGTACGCTCTGCCTGCAGCAACACAATAATTGAGTTAGTTCAGAGTTGTAATAGCGCATGATGTTATGTGATGCATACCTTGTACTGTGATTTGGAGTTTAGTCTGTGACCTGCTGTCACCCCTTACCCCTCTCTCGCTCCATCTTCCCTGTTTAATAAAGCAGAAATACTGTAATGAAATCTAGCTGGAATTTCATTATCTCCTGAGTAGCGTCGCTTCTGCAACAGCAGCACAGGAAACTTAAGCCTAATTCAGACAGGATTAACATTTCAGGGGGAGGTGGGGGATAAAATATCCCCCGTGGTCCATGGTAACTTAACTCGCCATCTGGATAGGATTTTAAACTTTGTAAAATTATAGAATATAGTCTGTAATAGATACTTTATGGGCATTCAGCAAGACAAAGCCAAACGCCTCCCCAGGGAGGCGTGGGAGGGTAGAGGGGGAGGCCGAGATACCACGTGAGGTGAATGTACTCCTCCTCGAAGATGCAACAATCTTGACACACAGACATGAAACACATATTGATATGTGACTTCCACCTTGCGAGAATATTTTTATCTCCAAAAATGGTACACCAACTTAAGTCATAGGAATAAGTCACTTGTTCTAGCTGCAGAACTTGCCTGAGATTCATCACATTTTCAAGCCTTCTTCAGTATCAGTGTTATCCAGTGGTAGGTGTCTGTACATTCGTGGGCACACTGCTAACAGGACCTGCTAAATGTTAGTTTGGCAGATTTTAAATTGTCATTTTGCCAAAAGCAATAAATATACATTAGACTAGAAGCAAAAAAGAGAACACCAAAAGTCAACATTACAACAATCGATCAAGACTTTTATGGAGCCTTGGTCTCGTCTTGCCTTGAATTTTGTTCCCTCATCATATTTGTTATCAAACAGACATATGTGTTGGTGTAAACATGTTTCCATACATCAGATAAAAGTCACATTTCACACTGAGCTGATGGAAAAAGTATTTATTTTATTTTATATATTTATCTTTTACAGGACACATTTTCACAGTCAACTGACGCAGTGCGTATGGGGCATGTCAAGCTAATTTGCAGCCACTTCCCCAGGTAGACTTTTAAAAAACAGGTATAAGAACAAGCAGTCCATCTTGCAAAATCCTCTTTAAAACAAGGATGCTGCTCAGGATAGGATTTAAATTGCAGGAGCACCATCAGGTTTGCTGAAAAATAGTTTATTTTAGCTGTTATTTATTAGGTGAGGATGAAAAATTACCAAAATGCATGCTCCAGACTAGATAAAAATCCCCAGGGCAGGTAAAATCACTGCACCTGTCATGGAGAACTAAATCCCATTTGAATAGGACTTTAGAATAGAAACTCATCTGATGGATGCCTCTATTTTCTAACAACATTAGCTTGGCTGCTGGTCTCCAGTACAGTCAGTATCAGAATCTGCTTTATTGGCCATGTGTGTCGGACGCGCGAGGAATTTGACTCTGGTACATCGGCTCTCAATGTGTATGTGCATATCCCCATGCAAGGGGCAAGCAAACAGTAAACCAGCATAAGGCTGTGTAATATAACAAAATAAGCAGTATTAACAAGCAACAAACACTGCAAACATTGCAAAATAAGCAGTATGCTCATTGTGAAATGAGATAGAGTACTTAAAACAGAGACCTGTACGGATCTGTATAATCTGTACAATGTATATTTACAGGTATTGCATTGAGGGTTATTGACCAGTCATACTGTTGTTGGTTAAGTGTTCATCAGGGTGACAGCCTGGGGGAAGAAACCGTCCCTGTGCCTGGTTGTCTTAGTGCACAGTGACCTGTAAGGCCATCCAGAGGGGAGGAGATCAAACAGATTGTATCTGGGGTATGAGGGGTCTGCAGTGATCCTCTCCGCCCTCCTTATGACCCGTGAGGTGTACAGGTCCTCCATGGAGGGCAGGCTCACACCAATGATCTTTTCTGCAGTCCTCACTGTCCGCTGAAGTCTGTACTTGTCCTGTTTGGTTGCTGAGCCAAACCAGAC